ATCGGCAGGCGGACTCTCAACTACTGCGCCACCAGGGAAGCCCGAGACTGCTAGATTCTTGAAGATGGATATATCCATTTTGGGATTACGTCAAGGCACTTAAAGAAAAAAAAAACCTCTTTAGGTTGAAGGAAGGAGTATGAACTAAGGTCAACATTGTGGATCACTTAATGTCCCACCCCTTCTTGGTAATGCAAAGAGCAGAGAAATACGTAGCGATCCTGCACATTTTGACGTTACAGCTTTCTCCTAAAATGACCCAGCAAGAGTGATACCCACTGATCAAATCCAATGATAACCCTCCTCCAGCATATAGCATTTGGTACAAAGTGAATGTGAAAATTGAGGAAACTGTCAATATAATTCAGGTTGCTCCGAAGTTAGAAATCTGGAATTGTGTTTGTTGAGGTGTGGAAATGGGCAGCTATTGAATTTATGGTCTCTTCATTGCTAAGAGTTTTTTGTTTGCTTGGATATATTCCCAGTTTTCAGCATCATTTACCACTGTGATTCCTAATCACATGTGTGTGACCTGTTTTTTCCTTTTGGAAGCTTTTAGAATCTTCTATTTATCACTAATTTTTTGAAATTTCACAGTGATGTGTCTTTGTGTGGGTTTCCCCCCTATTGTTTTACTGGGTGTTTGGTGGGCTCTTTGAATCTGGAAACAAGTGTCCTTCAATTCTGTACTATTCTTGTGTTAGTTTTTTGATTTTTGATTCCATTTCCTCTTTCCTTTTTTCTGCACACTCATTAGTTAGAGGAAATACTTGATCCTCTTATTTTCTAATCTTTTCTCTTGTTTTTTTTTAAATTATATGTTGTTTTGTCCTAATTTCTGGGAGTTTTCCTTAAATTTATCTTCAACTATTTTATTAATTTATTCTAGATTTCTGCTACCCTAGTTTTATTTTCTAAGAGCTCTTTATTATTCCCTGAATATTAATTCCTATTATAGGATCCTCTTCCTGTTACATTCACAGATACAGTATTTTCTCTTTATGGCTTGGAGAATATGAATTATAGTTTTGGTTTGTATTGCCTTTTAAGAAGATGTTCCCTGTATTGTTTCTGTTTCCTCTGAGTCACAGACTCTCCTTAAGAGTCTCACAGTCCTTATTTGGCCTTGTTTGTTTGTTTAAATATTTTTTATTGTTCTAAAATATACATAACATAAAATTTACCATTTTAGCCATTTTTAAGTGTACAATTCAGCGGCATTAAGAACATTCACAATGTTGTACAACCATCACCACTATCCATTTCCAGGAATTTTTCATCTCCAAACTGAAACTCTATACCCATTAAACAGTAACTCCCCATGCATCCTTCTCTCAGTCTCTGGTAAGCTCTATTCCCCTTTCCATCTCTGCGAATTTGACTATATTAGGAATTTCATGTAAGTGGAATCATGAAGTACCCGGCTTATTTCACTCAGCATGATGCTTTCAGGGTCCATGCATATTGTAGCATCTATCCGAATTTCATTCCTTTTTAAGTTGAATAATATTCCATTGTATAACATGTATAGACCACATTTTGTTTATCCATTCACATCCATCAGTGGGTATTGGGTTGTTTCCATCTTTTGGCTCTTGCGAATAATGCTGCCATGAACACTGAGGCATATTTTACTAGTAGGCTATACAAAGCTATTTAACCAGAATTTGGGCAAGGTGAAAAATAGGTTTAATATCTTCCCTAAACTAATGGTTCTAAAACTTGGCCATGCATTAGAATCACCTGGGATGTTTTTTTTTTTTTTCAATGAAACATTATTTTTGCCATTAGATTAGCAAAGATTTTTAATTTTAATTTTATTTTTATTTATTTATTTGTGCTGTGTTGGGTCTTCGTTTCTGTGCGAGGGCTTTCTCTAGTTGTGGCAAGTGGGGGCCACTCTTCATCGCGGTGCGCGGGCCTCTCACTATCGCGGCCTCTCCCGTTGCGGAGCACAGGCTCCAGACGCGCAGGCTCAGTAGTTGTGGCTCACGGGCCTAGCTGCTCCGTGGCATGTGGGATCTTCCCAGACCAGGGCTCGAACCCATGTGCCCTGCATCGGCAGGCGGACTCTCAACCACTGCGCCACCAGGGAAGCCCCCACCTGGGATGTTTTTAAAACCTTCCAAAGCCCATGCTGCAACCCAGACCAATGACATCAGATTACCTTGGGAGTGGGACACAGGCCATGAGTATTTTTTGTAAATCTTACCAGTTGATTACAATGTGCAGCCCAATTTGAGAACCAGTGCCCTAAATAGTGGTCACAGTCCTTATTTGGATGGGGCTTGTCAATCCGGGGGACTCAACTCTCAGTACCTGCAGGATTTTTTCTTATTCGAATCGACTTGCCCAGAAAGTACTGTTCTAATCTATGACCTACGGCATGAGCCAGTTGCCATCTTTCTGAAAGCCAAGCAGAGAAAGTGGTCCAGGGTCTCACCATTCAAAATGCACTCTCTTTCTTAACCTGCCTATTTTCAGCAGCTGCCTCATCCAGCCTTCTGCTGTGCTAGTGAGGGGCATCGCCCGTTTGGACAGGCTAGAGGATAAGACCTGGGGTCTGCCTCTTTCACAGACTTTCAGCCAAGCCTCTTTTCTTCAGCTCCACCTCAGCCACTCTCTGGGGTCCCGTGAAAACATTCAACTGCTGAACTTCATCTGACTTTGGAGTGTGAATCAGCTTCCTTCACCTTTGCCACTTAGTCTTTGCAGTTATGTTTTTACATTTATTCTCAGGAAAAAGTACTTTACTTGTCCTAATTCACCCAAGACTTAGGCTTTGTGAGACTGTTCACAAGTAAACAAAAAATGAGCATGAACTGTTGTTAAAATATCTAGTGAATCGGACTAATTTTTAATTAATAACTGGTAAACTAAGAGAACAAACTCTTTTCTGTTTAAAAAAAAAACTATAAATCTTGACATTTAAATTAAAACATATCTGGAATTCCCTGGCACTCCAGTGGTTAGGACTCCACACTTCCATTGCCAGGGGCCCAGGTTCAATCCCTGATCGGGGAACTAAGATCCTGCCAGCCACGGGAGATGCAGCCAATAAATAAATAAATAGATAGATAAATAAATAAATAAATAAAATAAAATACAAACATATCTAAATAAATACCTCTAAAGTCTCCATCCGTATGAAGCCAATTAAAAATTACACTTATCAATCAAAGACTTGTGTGGTGTTTTAAAATGTGAAGCTTACATTTACCTCCTGTACTTTAAAGAGCTGCATTGATTTCCTGAGTTTTTAAACTTAACCTCCCCCAAATGTCCCATCATAACCCAAATCAAAAAGTATATGCATTTTAAGAAATGAAAAAAGCTGGGAATGAAAATTTTAATTTCAGTAGTCACTTGTCTTTATGATGTCCCTCTAGTATTTAAAAATTTTTATTTCAGAGCTTTCAAACTTCATTTTGGGCAGGAATTTGACGATATATCATATTACAGTAGAATCTTCTAAGTCAGTGAATAAAACATATAAACAAAGTTGCTGGACCTAGAAACATATTGATAAAGATCAGCTCCTCAAATTCATTTGACAGAAGCAAACACACTTGAGGGGATATAATTTATGACTTCCTCTGAAGCAGGACAGACTCTAGACTTATTTGCAAAAGGAACGAAGTGAACTGAATAATCTGTTTAAACATAACGCAGTGAAGTACCTGCTTCCTGACAGACAGGCCAGATCTCAGGTTCCCAACCCTGTCCTGTGGCCCTTCAAGATGGTCAAAGTCATCCATAGGGATGTTTTGTGGCTGAAGTTCCAATTGAGTGTTTTGGGTTCAATGTCTTTTGATCTCCTAGGTATCAGCCCTCCCTGGCTTCTGCCTGAAACTTCTGGGATCACCCTGAGGCAGGTGCAGAGGATCCTAGCACTGGAATGACACCACTCATCTAAGCCACATGGTCCTGTCAATTTTAACTCCTAAATATCCCTTGGATTCTCTCCCTTTCTGTCCTATTCCCAGCCTCACTGCTATAGTTGGATCCTCATCGTTTCTTCCTGATCAATTGCCATAGCCTCCTTTTTATTCTGTTGCCTGTACAATCACTGCTGAAATCTACCTTACCCACTGCTGCTTTTGTGATCTTTGTGAAACGCAAATGTGAACATATCACTCTTCTGTAGAAAATGCTTCATTGGTTCCCCAGTTACTGCCTGATAAGGCTTAGGCTTCATAACTGGTCATACAAGACCTCCATGATCTAACTTATGCTTCTTACTTCCCCTGTCTTTTTCGCTTTAAGCTGTGAGAGGACCATGAACATGTCTGTCCTGCTACCCTGGCATTATTCTCAGTGCCAGGTCCAGAGCCTGACACCTAATGGATAATTACTAACAGGTACATCACTACCCCATGTCTCATGCTTTTGATTTATGGGCTTTTTTTTGCTAGCCAATTGAGTTTTTTTGTTGTTGTTTGTTTTTTGGTAATTACACAAGTGTGCCCTTCTTTCACAACTCATTTATTCACACATTCACTCATTTACCTTGGGATCACTACGATCTAACACTGTGACTGCTACGAGTAAGTACTCTGAACGAATAAGTGAAAATGGAGATGACACATACCTGAGGAGTCGACTGCTCTGGATTGCAACTGGACTTGCAACCCAGTGCAGTTTTTCCCCAGGCAGTACATGTACAGACAAATACAAGGACCAAGAGGCAAACGTTGCCTTCCGCTTGCTCTTCACAAGTCTGGGAACAAGGTTCAGTGAATCAAGACTTTGTAGAATGAATCGGAGCAAACAAAATAAAGAGCAAACAAACCAACTTCCAATAAATAACTACAGAGGTAATCAGGACTCTCCCAAGCCCCAAACTAAACGGCACAGAGCGCCATTGACACCCAGCTGTCCCCGGAAGCCCCGCCCCTCGGGAGGCGGGGCGAGCACGTATTGGGCGGGGCCTTCCGGCTCGATCACGCCCCGTGGGCGGGACGTAAGCGGGTGGGCTGAGCTGGAGCATCCCCGCGGTTTCCTAGGAGATGAAACACACAGCACGCCAGAGCTTGACAAGGGAGTGAACAAGGTAAGCGGCCGGCGCGGGCAGGTAATCCCGAGCGGGCAGCGGGGCCGCCACCCTCCGTCCGACCCAGCCCGAGCCTGTCCTGCGAGGCGGCCCGGCATGTCCCCTCGGCTCCCTGTCCTACCAGCGCCAACCTCCGCCGAGAGAAGGGGCCTGGACACTGGTAGTGGGAGGGACTGGAGGGAGAATTCGGGGAGGGGCGGGGCGGGCAGGAGGCGGTCAACCTGCTCCTATAGCTGTCGGTTCGCTCCGAGACCCCCTCGACTACTTTCCTGCGCTCCTAGACGGCGCGGTCAGTCCTGGGTTGGAGGATGACGGCGGGAATCCATCAGTCTGAGGGACCCGCACCCCTGAACCTCTACCCCAGGGTCTCCCAACGCACCCCCCGCTCTCCCCCGCTCCCTTTAGTGCTTAGGCTGGAGGGGACGCTACTTTTTTAGGAGTGAGGGGCGGGATCAGGTCTGGAGAAGGCAGTGGAACTGAGTTAAAAACTGTTACAAAATTGAAAAGGAGAAAGAATAAAGAGAAACTGGGTCCAAATTCAGTCCTCATTCGTGCATTCCCAAATGACTCCCGGGTAAAAAGCGGAATCCCGGCACAGGATTGACCAGCGGGCGCCCCCAGTCCTCACGCCGAGCCAACCGCGGCGGGGCGGGGGTGGGGGTGGGGGTCAGAGGATCACCTGCCCGCTGCGGCCGGACACGCAGGGCCTCGGGGACGAGCCCTGCCCGCAGACGGGAGTCTTTTAAAAGCCCCGGTTTGCGAGAAAAGATCAGAGCGTCTGGGAACGAAAACTGCTTCTTTAGTACAAATAAGACGGAGACATGGTCAGTTTAAGGACACAGGGCTGGAATCGGGGAGGGGAGGCAATAAAACTGGCTTTTTAGTGGTTTGTAATCTCAATTCTAAAAGGAAAGAAATGTATGTAATTGTGTTTAGATAATCTTTTTAAATGATCAGGCATTTGTTCTAATTGTAACGGAATTCTCATAAAGAGAGTCAAAGTTATCGGAGTGATTTTAATCAGAAAAACGACCAGTTCAGTCGAAATAGTGGCGGAGGCAAAAGTTACTTTCCAGCCTTTTGGCTTTCCTTTATCGGCCCCCCGCCCCGTTCATTGCCGAGTGACCGGGAAGGGATAAACCCTCCCCTCCCCCTCAGGGCGGCCACCTTCTGCCTATGCAAAGCTGGCTGTACCATCTCTTCGTTGGGGTGGGTTACTTTGGTTTGGTTTTGCTTCGTTTTAAAAGTTTGTGAATATTAGCACAGAGCACCATGCTTTTATTTATTTTTTAACACAGAGTCCTCTTTTCCCATTGTAAAAGCTCCCCTTTTAATTTCTGTAAACGTATGATTTGGTTAGTTTGAAATCTTTTTTCTCTTTTGCTTTTGAAAGGACTTAATGGTTTTTATGGCGTTACTTTTTTTTTTTTTAAACAAACGTTAATGCCAGCCTTAGGGTAATAACATTACAGCAGATTCTACAAAGACAAGTTGAAGACGTGGAAACGTTATCTGCTCAGTGATTGGGCAGACACAAATTTTACCCTCCATTTGCCCTCTCTGTTAATCTTCTTTAATCCTATCTAAATCCCTTATTAGCTGGCAGAAGCTGTTGAGAATAAAGCTCAAGTTTACAGTAATTGTGCACTTAGATAAAAGTAAGACAACTAGAACAGGAGAGAAATGATAAGGGCATTTATCTAATGCAGGCCTATAATTGAGCCTCTAAATAAATGTCTTTTTCCTTAAACCAGAATATAAGGTTTGTATAACTCATAAGGAAGTCAGTAAGTATTGGAGCTTGACTGCAGAAAATTCCAAGTTCCTAACAGTTCTATTAAATTAATTGAGGATCATAGTTACATTACATTTACTTGTTTTGCTTTGTTGCATATATATGGAAATATAAATATATGGAAATATGTGCATAAGAAATCATGTTACTACATCCCTGTTTTGCAGAGTTAGCTTTCCAAAGGTCCACAGAGAAGAATATATGTAACTTGCAGAGAAATATTATTGGGTGTGAACAGGGGACCCATAGGCAGTCTGTCTTTTAAGTTACATATACTGCTTTTGACTAGTAATCTGTTTAGGACATTCCTATTCTACATTGATAAAAATAGTTGTTTATATGCTATCAGTGAGTAGGTACATGGAAGTAATTACTTTTAAAAAATCCTTTATCTTTATATATCTATGCCATTAGGCCATTATCCTTATATTCTTAGGGGGATAAGGGGACAGTTGAAATGGTCAGCTTCTCACCCTGGAGAGCTGTTTATTTTGTATTTAACATGACTCAAAAGAGGCCTTTTTAAAGTTTTGTTTGGGAGCATAGTATGTAAACTTGTGTTACTTAAAGGTTAGTAAACTGGCCCAATTCTCTGAGAGCCACAAATCAGAGCTTTTTAAAATCTATGTCATATCCATAATCTTTGCCCCTCAAATGAAAGAAACTGGGAAATGGCTGTGTCCCTTACTTATTTTTCCCTGAATATAAGTATCCTATGCTATAGCACTTGAAACAAACTTTGCGTTTCCAGTGTTTATTTGGAAGATGATTGGTTAGGCTTGGAGTGCAGTTTCTACAATAGCCACTCCAAAACCGGTTGGGCTTCCAGGACAATGCAGAAAGGAGTCAATGACTGAATGGTCTGTTGTGCTAATAGTACTGATGATGGTGGGCTGATGGTCTTAATAGTGGACCAGAAAAAGGCAGTTAATTCCACTTTTGCAGGTTGTTGAGCCGCTGCAAGGGAAAGTTTCAATGTTTCTGGCACCTCTTATCTCTGAACTTCTCTCCCCATCTGTGCCACTCCCTCTTTCACTCCCTTCTCAAGCCATTTGTCCTTTTCCAGAAGTGCCTACATAACTGCCTACCTCTCAGACCCTCAATGCCTGTCTTCAGTGAGGTATTAACAAGAAAATAATTTGTTGCATACGCAGCAGATCTGCAAAGAAAAGAAGATGCTATTTATCCCATTAAAATTCTTAATTAAATAATTTGGGGGGGGTTGGGTAAAAATAATAATTTTCTTAAGGAACTCCAGGAAGACTCCCTTCTCC